GCAAATACGGTCGTTGACAGTTCGAATTGAATCATACGGTTATATTAAGAAATGAATTAATAAAAAGGACTGAACATGATTGCATATCGCATGCCTCGCAGCGTCACTTCCGGTGCTTTTGTGACGTAACGGGGCGTCACATCCGGCGCTGTGGGCGACATTACGTGAAACTGTTTTTAAGATTCCTTTGGCATCGCCGCCACCTGTATGGAACTTTTAATTAATTGTTGAGCGACGCGGAGTTTTATACAGTCTTTCAATGCTCGACATCGAAAATGTTATTGATGATTATGGCCTAACTATATACATGGCTCCTTTAAGCGCTACTTTGAGAATATAACCGGTTATGACTGAGTAATCCAAAATATAGGTAGATCTTCGAATACATAGAGGCTGCCGCCATACCTCGAAAACCATGAAATATTTCAGACCAATATTGGATAATATATTATACTTTTGTATAAGAATGCTTAGGTTGATATTTTCTAATACGTAGCTGATACTATACTAAGTATACTAAGTATAGTAATCATATCGTACTTCATATTATATACTAATATTATAAATGCGAAAGTTACGATGGATGGATGGATGGATGTTTGTTAGCGTTTGTAGCTTAAACGGCTGAACAGATCTCCATGAAATTTGGCACAGGTTTAGAACATAGTCTGGAAGAACACATAGGCTACTTTTATCCCGGGAATAGTTACGGTTCCCGTGGGATTTATTAATTTTGTAGTTAATGTTTACTCGATTATTTTTCTCGGTTATTGAAATTTGGCACAGATATAAAACAAAGTCTGGAATACACATGGGATAAGTTAAAACCCTGAGAAATGTCCGGTTCCCAAACGATACGTAGCTTTTTGTTATTTACATAGTTCGTATGTTTTCTAATACCATGCGGACGAAGTCGCTGGCAATAGCTAGTATTTAAAATAAAAGCATAGTAACTGATAGGATAAAGTTGTAGTGAAACTTAATCCAAGTTTCGCAGTAGTTAGAAATAAAACAAAAGCATAAAATGACTTTCTATTGAATACGCAGTACGAGAACTCTGTTAATTTCGTCGAAACTTTGCTTTGCAGTTATTAATTTATCCGACAAAAATAAGATGAACCTTGTTATAAACGGCCTGGGTATTATCAAATAGGTCAATGTATACTGGATTGTTTGATACAAGGGTAGGATTTCAAAGAACAACGAGCAAAGGGGTCGAGGGTGTGTCTTCTACGAACGTGTTCCCGCATTACGTTTCTGTTGAAATTACTATTTTAGATATAGCTGGCTTCCTCAAATATGTGCATAACAAAAGAGCTAAATATACTTCGGTACTAATCTGCTCTAAATAAAAACTACAAAACAAATAACAAAGAAAGAATAATTAATTACAAAATATGCTTATATCGGATTTCATAAAGATACCATGTGTTAAGAGCCAAAAGCGTGCTAGATGGTGACCAATAGCCTTACATTTAGGGCTGGCTACGCTTATCGTTATACTTGGTTTATATTATAGCAGTAATGAAAACTTCTAGTAAACCCATGCAATCCATTCTAGGTCTACGCTGTCCTAATTTACTCTCATAATTTAAACCAAGTCTGTCCTAAACGGAACGAAGATCGCGAAAGGCGAAGGGCCACTCATATTAGAATGAAAACGAAAGTTTAAAAGGGTACAAGACAATTTTATTAGACAAAGTTACATGTTAGTGCCAGTTGTAGCAGGGTCCCACTGGCGAACAGCAGTAGCCTCGAGCACACGGCTCGCAGCCGCAGCAGCGCGGCATGGGCCGGTCGCATCCGCCGGGACACCGCGCGAAAGTTCCGATGTTGAAGTCCCGATAACAACCATATTGAACCGGCATTTTTTATACTATTATATATTATCTTGAATTGATGAAAGAGGTGAAAAATATTATTTTATAGATAATTTTTATGTACTTTATATTTTTTATTACAAAAAAAATCTAAGGATTTTTTTCAATTTTAATAATTTTTTGAAAATGATTGATTTGTCAATCTGATTTATATATTAAAGAAGTTTCAAAATTAATAACGGCCAGTATTTCTTAGTTTTCATTTGGCCAGTACAAATAGACAGTAGCACAAGCCTGGTATAACGTAAACCAGAATCTTTCTTAGAAATCACCTGCAATCAGCATGGAAGTGCATTGTCTCATTAACTTATAGATTACAGCTGTCCCTCTGCTAAAATTAGAATTAATTTCAATAAACTTGACACTCATTTAAATCCTCTTTGGTTTGATGTAATTTTAAAAATAAAATGAATTCGAATATCAATTTAAATACATTTTCACAATTCATTCACATTACAAACACAACAGCACGACACATCGGGTCTCACATTAATTTTATATAAAAATTACTTAAAAAATATCAAAAAAATTATAAAAAGGAGAAAATCAAAAAAGTTTGCGTCGCAAGTTTAATATTTAATGATATAATATGCCTGTTTACTACGGAGGGTTTGTCGGTGGTCATCAAGGGGGTGGCTACTGTTTGTATGCTACGACATGCAACCCGAGCATGCCGGGCTGCGGCCCTTGCTGCTAGCTCTCCTCTAAAACTAAGGTATAGTACACTATATATACTTTGTACCAACATACATAGATGGATGTTTGTTAGTTTGTAGCCTAAACTGCTGAACGAATTTCAATGGAATTCGGTACGTAGAGAATAGTCTGGAAGAACACATAGGCTACTTTTTCGTTCCTTTTAATTCCACGCGGATAGTCACGAGCGAAAGGTAGTCTAAGAGTGAACAATGATCTTGTCGAAGATCGCCTATTTAAAGCGTGGTGAGAGCCCTTGTTCGTCCATCATTGGAGTTTTTTTAGTTAACTACGTATTGACTGACTTTGTAAATCCTTAATATGTCAAGCTAGCATGTCTTAAATGGGTCGGCAGTTCTATCTCCTTCACTATAGTACTGATGTTTTACATGTTTTGTAATTTCAGGTAATTTCAAGATGAAAGTAAGCTGTAGGGGTGCTGGCACGTGATGCGCCGACAGACCTTCGTAACGCATTCCGGTCAAATTTTTTGTACAATGAATAAACTAATATACCTATAGTATTGAATTTTATTTCTAATGTCACAATAAGCATTCAAGTCCCATGGCAAGGCTAGCAGCCAGTTCGTGTCACTAAAAACACTAAGCGAAAATTTAGGGACTGTTTGCTGCGCTCTGTGGTACCATTGTCATTGGCAGGCCAGTTACCAAGTTCTATTGATCGGCCAAGTGTGTGGAAACCATGTATTACGTTACGCTCAATATATTTTAATTGCTTGTATTTGGTAGATGTCATTGATTTGTAAAGATGTGATTTAGAGAAATGAGAACAGCTCTACCGGATAATCTTTTGGAAACAAAGTTAAAGCAGCTCCGACCTTGAAGTTCTGGGGCGCGTGGCACCATCAATACTCGATATTATTAAACAAAGTGGACCCCAGTCGACACCGGTACATTTGCTATACAAATCTCCATTTCTTTTGTCTTGGCTGTCGCGCATGCCTATGTGCTGCATGTCCAAGTCCAGATTTTTTTTATAACAAGGTGGCAAACGAGCAAGCGGCCTTCAGAATCCGTCAAAATGGCGAAGCGACAGCTGCTTCCGGCATCCGTAATTGCAGATGCGTTGCCTACCGTTATACGACGGAGGAGGAGACGCACATAAAGATATTTCCCCTTCCTATTAAGTGTTAAAGCGGGCACTACCACTGTTAATTTATTGCTAGACTCACTGGAACCGAACCAAGTCCTAAGTATTCAAGCCTAGGCCAAAACCAGGTGGGTACAGTTCAAATACCAATTCCTAGATATTTGGGAATTCCGTAGGAAATAGGATCCAAACTGCTGGAATATTGAATCCAGGTACAAATCGAGGTATAATAAAAAGCAGAAATATTTGTAAACGTTAAGTTTTATTTAATTCCGTACATTACTTGATTATCAACGGTTTGAACGATAAATTCACTGTTCGACGCCACAAAAGATGCCTATAGTCGCCGAAGCTGGTGTGCCGTCGCCCCATAGATGGAGAGGGGCGACCAGCTCTTCGGTGCCCATGGCCTCAGCAACAACGATAGTATCCACAGCACGGTCCGCAGCACGGCGAACAGCAAGGAGAGCAGCACGGTGAACAGCAAGGAGAGCAGCAAGGGTAGCAGCAAGGCATCTTTGCACCTTTAGTAGTCTTCAGCAAAAATTCCGAAGAAACCGTACTTTATTGTACTTTATTTGAGAGGAGAAAACAACGATTTATTTTTACTTAATTAGCTTAATGTTGAAGGTTTGAAGTTTGGTTTTTGTATGCCCATCATTGCGATTCGCTTTATTAGGTAACCTCGGTATGGGGCTAAAGCGTTCCATTCGCAGAACATTTTAAAATTCAATTTCACTAAATTTTCTTCGAAAGAATTAAGTTTGTACCAAAGAGTTTTGTACTCGTTTGATTTAAGTTTCTTCTATGAAAAATAAGACATATAAAACCTTCATGTTAGATATTAAATTATGAATAATCTCATATTGCCTTCTGTTAGTATATTTTGTTATATCGAAATAGACTTATACATTTTGATTACTTAAGAGAACTAATAACATTAATAATTATGGATATTCTGCGAACTACTAAAAGGCTCAGGAAAATTGTATAAGGAAAAATAAGCCTTAGCTAGAATAACATTAGCAAACTTAGTTTTACACGAAAACATCAAGAATTTCTAACATCCAAGGAAGGAAAGAAGATAGCTTCCCTTCATGATCTGGCGTCTTATTAAAATACATTATAAAGTGCTAAATAACTAATAAAATATTAAATATTTAAACTTCAATGGAAGAATAAAAACTTCTTCAAAGGAAATTATTTACGTGATTTACTTTTAAAAGAAAACCTTCTTTTAAGTCCTCTCTTATAACCTTATATTTTGTATAATAAAAAAAAATTGAAAGAATCCGAATTTCAAATAACAAGAATTTGAATAGAACAATGCAATCGTCATTTCACGCAGATAGATGTCATAATTTGTTTATTATATCGGGGCAAAGCTCACAGATAAAGCAAATTTTGTTTTCAGAGATCATGTTTTACTACGATTTGAGATGGAAAGGTAATTTTTTTAACAAGAAATCAAATATTTCAAGGGCGATAAAATACATGCCAGTAACTGGGCAGCACGAGACCACACAGTTTTACATTTTTGTGTGATTAGATTTACACAACAAGAAACTTGTAAGATTTTCCAATTAAAAATAACGTTTTCTTTGTGTTTTTTGTATTGATTTTTTTATTAAATATTTAAGAGAATCGCATCGTTTTATTTTAAAGCTTACAACAGCGTCTTTAACAATCCTTGAATAAAATTAGTCACACGGTTAATAAAAATGCAAAATGGAAATGAAAAAGTTGTTGGCAAAAAGAGTTATAAGTAATTACTAGTATCTATTGCATAAAACGGACATAAACAGCGTGTATGGCTCTAACGCGAAAATTTACATAATCTGTAGGCGGAAAAAAAAGAATGTTACCTAGGGCTGCTAGTCACCAATTTGTATAAATTCTTAACAACAAAAGTCGCTTTATATTTAACTACTCCGCGACAATTAAATATGTAAATAATATTTTGCGCTTTCCTAAAACCTTCTCAATAACCTGAATTTAATTCTGATTGTGGTTTAGCTAAGAGTAGGAAAAATATGAGTAAAACAAGAGCAGTTTGTTTATTACAATTTTCTATACTGTTACTGATGATAAATTATAACGTAAAAATGTCAAAAAATCATGAACACACTTCCTACTTACAATGGCCTTTATTCTAGGAAGTGTCACCCCTAACGCAGGTAGTGGACCTAATTTTCTGTATCGTTGCCGCGAGGTGGCGCTGGGGAGGGGTTCACTGATTTCACAGAACATGCAATCAAAGTGGGAATGCTCGCTATTTCCGGTCACTTTATTAGGTTAGATCACGCACCGTGTGCAGAAACGATTCCTAAAACTGCGCCCGTGTCGGCCAGAGTATTTCCTTTGGGCTAGTTCCTATTACCTATTATGTTGGAATCGAATTACATTGAAATCACTTGTAATTAACTTGCCGTCATAAATTATATCACGTCATTATACACTTACAAACTATTAGTACAACTATTTTAGGGCCAGTCCCACCAAATTGTAAATTATCTGATAATAATCCAACGTGTAAAATATCTGATGGAAGTATCGGATTTTGGTACTCTGACAGTGACGTCATTTTTAAGCTATCTGAGCCTCTATCAGCCGGTGGTGGGACATGCCATAAGTATTATCTGTGGTAGAAACTACGCAACGCTTTATTGAGATGCTGCAATAACGGCGTCGCCAGACTTCATTTAGGGATTAGGGGCAGAGAGGGCAGAGTACTGACGAATTACAGCTAGTAGAATTTTATTTTTATTCCTATAATATAAATTGACAATTTTTAAGTCACCGGGAAAGCTGCCCTTACTGCCCCTCTTGGCGTTGTCAAAGAGCTGCAAACTGCCATTGAATTGTGTAATTCGAACATTTCTTTGTCATAGAAATTATAAACACATATTGAAGTGACAGCTGGTTCGTCGCAGATGTCAGTTGTAGCGGGAATTGGATCTTGCAGGAACTACACAAAAGCTATATAGTTGTAGTTTGGAGAATCCATCATTTGATTCCCAAGCCCCCTCTGGTTCTGAGAAGTACCGCCAGCTGCCGCGGGCTCGAGCCGGGACCCACGTCAAACTGATGTCGCCAACAAAAACAATGCTCGCAACTGTCAGCTTTAACACAAAAAATATAAACACGTTAGTGTGTACAGTAGCAGAGAAATATTGATTTATTACTTTGAAAACTCGGATCGTTTGAGAAAAAAATTGCTCAATGGTTTAGCAACTTATATAGGACCAAATTAGGAAAAACATACAGAAGACCCATCGAAGTAAAAAAATTGTAAAAATCATCTGTAAAAACGTTATTTTAATAAATGTTTTCAGAGTAGAAGTAAATAATACTGAACTTAGTACTGAAATAAAGGTCGGCAACGCATTTCCAGGTTATCTCGTATTGAAAATGTTCTTGGGCGTTGATAGAAACCTTGGTTTTCCCGTTGGTTTGCCTCATTCTCGTGTAAAAAACATTCTGTTACAATCGAGACACTCGATTACTATAGATATACTAAACTGTACACTCTACTAAAGATCATAGATGCCTAAAATCCATAATCTATTTGTCTAGACCTGACGCCGATATATTTTAAGGGTAATCCGTAACTAAACGTGTTGCGAATTTTCGAAGTAACCAATTTAATAATCGTTATAGTTCCAAGATGGCGTGAAATTTGACATTTCTGTGAAGTTGCGATTCGGTGAAAACGTGTCCATGCTTATGTTTCTTGGTACTGAGTCAGCTGGCTACGGGGAACGGACATCGGCTATTTAATATGGCCATTTTATTAACGAAGTTAGCACTTTTGGTCAAGATATAGGGAAACATAACCTCAATTTTTATTTCGTGGAAGTCGTTTCCTTTTTGTTAATATTTACAGTATACCTACGTTTTATTTAATTGGTAGGTTTTAAATACACAAAAGAAAAGTAACTAACTATAAATAGATAGATCCACCAACTTTACCTCGCTGATTCTATTGTCTAATTCTTACTTAAGTCTTGTTATTAGACATAATTTACTTATCATTTTTAATATATACTTCCTATATCATCAAGTTATACAGGTGTGTATGAAAAATCATCTCAATATATTTGAACTTTGAAACGATTTGTCACGTATTTAATAAAAACGGTTCAAACGATTCATTTGAAAGGAATCGATAAGTGGAACTGTAACAAAAGATATTAATCATCGAATTTTACGATAATTAGTCGCAGTGAGTCACTAGTTGAGGGGTTCGACCTAACGCACTTCTGACAAAAATTATTTGCTTTTATTAATTGATACAATCGACTTTTAACGTCAATATTTCGTAACAGATTTACGTGTAATGAAAATTCAATGTAGATATTTAAATTAAACCATTATCATGTTTCATTTTTTTTGTATTAGTCATAGTTCTAAGAGACCAATTACAACGGTCGAGCGCTCTTGGAATGGAATGCCCGTTGCATTCAAATTTCCCGGTAAAATTGTTAATAAAATATCAGTTTAAGAAGTTCCTAGTAAAACGCCTCATTCTTATTTCTATCTTGTAATGACAAAATCGAACCGGACACTAATTTTAGTCACCGATATTCCGTAATACTTGCAAAGTTTTCTGTATAACATAAGTAATGATTATTATGAGGTTAACAATAAATATACTGCTAAAATTATGATACAAAACTTATTCTACTTTAAGAACCTTAGCTTTACAATATTACTTGTGTAGCTTTGCCGATGACAACATAACGCCACGTAACAGTATTAAGCAGACGGATGCGACATTGTTGGTGCTAGTAAGAATGAGACGCTTCGGAAACCTTCGGCAGTGGAAATGTTTGCATAGTAGTTTTTATAAAAGTACGGAAGTTAACATTTGTACATCTCCGTTTTGTCTCTTTAATAAATGCATCATTAAATCCCCTACCTTATCATTCTCCTGTAGTGTCAGCGCACCGGGTTTTCTCCCTCCAAATAACTATCATCCGCCATCACAGTCACCACTCCTTTCTTGATCATGTCACATTTCACGCAATCCAACCATCTCTTTCTAAGTCTAACTCTACCGGTGTACCTCCACATTCATAATTAACGTTCTTCTCGTTAACCCTAACGTTCGTCCTTATGTTTAACACTTGCATGTTCTTTGTAATTGCATACAAAGTACATGTATTGCATTATATTCTTAGAAAACAAATAACATCCTTTTAAACGATTTCTATGTAATTTTAATAATGTAAACATCCGATGTATACACGTTTCCATGTAGCGAAATCAAAACAACGTAAAAGAATCGTATGAGAATACATAATTGTGATTGAAAACAATAATGTAATACAATTTTTATTTTACATTAATTATTGTCATTGAGGTTAGTTTTTCTTAGAAATTCAATTCAAGTATACACTTGAACACATACGTGTTTTAACAGAGACTGAGATTACGGTGTTCTGCAAAAAAACGCTCTTTATATATAAAGGTATTTATTATCTGTGCTATTACGTAAGTAGAACATTAATCTTTTCAAATATTGTTCAATATTCTGGAAGGATTCCAAACTATCCGAAATGTAGTTCTCAGAATCAACGTATAATTCAAATACATTTATGATTTAAAATTATAATATTGTTTTATTTTAGGTATTCGTATTTTGCTTTTATAAACGCTATAGCTACAAATGTTCACGATAAAATGTCGATTTTGAATAGCAATATATCAATTTCATCGAATAATTTAAATTTTGTTGGCGCTACAACCGGAATAATTGGAATGTAACGACCGTTTGAACAAGGAATATTATTTTCAGGGAAATCGGCCGGTCACTGGAAACCGACGCGCTGACATATTTGTTGATATAGTTAATTAATTTCCCTTTATGCAACGCCGCGGAAAAATTTAGTCAATTACCGTATTGCTGTAACCATTACTGTTTCCGTGAATTTGAATTACCTAATGTCCACTCTACCGTTTGTTGATATATTCTATTTATTAAAGTTATACACATTAATATTACTGGTTATGAGCAAAAGATCTTTTCCCTTGTCCCTAGGGAGGGTACAGTAAGTGTATACATCTCATATTGCATACAAGTCTAACCGTCATATCTGATTACTCTCCCTTAAACACTCTCACACAATCTATCCATACTTTCTTCGGTCTTCCTCTACCTTTGTATCTACATCCACATTCATTCTTATATGTTTGTTTATGTAATCATTTTACTGCGTAAAAATGATTAATATATTGTGTTAAGTTTCTATGATATAACGGTAAGTAGATTCAGCGGTACATTCTGATTATATATTATATAGGTAATAAAAACAAACAAGATTTTTTTTTCTTTATAAACTTAACAAGTACAGACATCACATAGTTTATTTAGGAAACTCGTCGTTTTTTCCTAAGAGGTACATCTTCGTTTTGGTTATCCTCATTGTCACACGTCATGGGAATTATTTCTGTGGCCGCGTCATTTATGTCTTCTTCCGAAGCTGCGAAAAGCAATAACACTTTAAAACAAATAGTCATATAATATTGAGAGAACACGCCGCTTCAAGATGGCCGCTGACATTTAATTTCCTTATTAGAGATATCACCTTTAATATTAAAAAATATGTCGAAATTAACTAAATCAAAATCTCCGTAAATAAATACTGATGTTTACAAAATTAGATTTAGAAATATTTTAATAATAATTGTTTCTTAGTTATTTATATACTAGCTATTTATATGCCAGCGACACCGTCCTCGTGAAATTAAAAAAAAAACAAAGTAGGTAGCTTATGTGTTCTTCCAGACTATGCTCTAAATGTATACCAAATTTCATCGAGATCCGTTCAGCCGTTTAGGCTTCAAACTCGTAACAAACATTCTAAACTTCGCATTAATAATATTAGTAAGATTGTCACCAGTGTCAGTGTGGTCCTCTCTAGCGCTGAGCACTTCCTGCAACAGCGAGGCTTTTATCTTAAAATCTCGCGCGAAACCCAGAGAAAAGTATTGCTGATAATCAACCTGAAAGTTTTATATACTTAGAACTTTGAACACATCTTTATTAAGTCTAGGTGGAATCGTGGTTAACGCCCGTGCGGCTTCATCCGCATTAAATTATAAAAACTTAGTTTATTTACATTCGTCAAATTCTCAATCGAAAATGTCAAAATTACCATTACCATAATAACCTCGCTTCCTTAATGTTGGCAGCTTGTAATTTATGGTCCCTTTCCCACATGAAGGTGTTTTTTCCAGTTTATTTACTCCCTAACTTTAATACCGTGGAAATTAATAGCCTAAAGCGTGTCGTAAGTATAGGGCTTTTTATCAAAGAAAGAATTATTCAAAAATGCTGTAATTACTGACATCTTAGGCAACAAAGAAGTATGTGTTTACGCTTTATTATAATAGTATAGATAGATTAAATAATACCTTAGCCTTATTAGCGAGCAATATCGCATGCTTGTTGAATTGCTCAGCTTCTAGCACAAGGCGCGGCACGAGGCGGCTGTCGCGGGTGTTCCTTGCGCCCTGCTCCTGCTGCTCCAAGTACGTGATGAAGCAGTCCATCACTGATGATAGACGTTTGCCTGATATTTTTAACAGACGGTCTAATCTGGAATTAAACACTGGATTTAGAATAATTAGTTATTAGAGATACTACGGAGAGCTTTCTTTGTTATTATTTTAATCTTACTGATATTATAAATGCGAAAGTTTAGATGGATGGATGTCTGTTATAGTTTGTAGCCTAAACGGCTGAACGGATCTCGATGAAATTTTGCATCAATGTAAATCATAGCCTGGAAGAGCACATAGAACGCATACTTTTGTTGTTTTTTTAATTCCACGCCGACGGAGTCGCGGGCGAATGCTAGTATCTTATATAATATATTTATATTTATCATGCACATATTTTATGGAGTTGATTTATGAATATTTTTCGCAGGAAAATCAACGGTGGGGAATGAAACTGTCGAATAATGCGCATAGACACATTCAGAAGCTACGTCATAATAACTTTTATATAGCAACCAGTCAGTACGCTTAAGCCCTACTGTTTTTACTACTTTAAAAAGTTTTACAGCCTACAAATAAACGCAGTACAAAGTTAAACTTAGGAATAAACTATAAGCAAATATTAGTACAAATTTTGCTTATGCTCGGTTTATTCCTAAGTTTAATTTTATACCGCATTTATTTGTAAGGCTGTGTGTGTGTTTGTACTACTTTAAACGGTTTTATTGTATTTTTCAACCTTGCTTTGGTCCAATAAAACAAAAAAAAAACTTGTTTCGCGTTGTCTTAATACAAACAATAAGTTTGTTTTGCTAAGCGTTTTATTTGTCGGGTTATAATGGAGGCTATTTTAACGGAAGCGGACGGGAATGTAGAAGCGAAAGGCTTCACCTCTGCAGAAGCGGAGGTTAACGGAAGCGATTTATTAAAGAAATAAAAAATAAAAAGTAAATTAACCTCCTTTATCCGCAGAAGAAATAAAGCGAAAACGGATGCGGAGATAATATTTCTTGCGGAAGTTCCGCACTTGCGGATGCGGAAGCGGAGTTTCCTTACAGCCCTATTTATTTGTTTGTCTCTCGTACTTCGTAAGATTAGTTTAAATGAGTGTACCGTTT